AAAGATCTCTCTGCTGGCTCATTCTCCCAATGCTCCCAGCAGCTGGGCCTAGGCAGGGACGAAGCCAGGAGGAGCCTGGGATTCTGTGTCTCTGACTGGGTGTTAGGGGCCCAGTTGCTTGACCCATCACTTGCTGCTTCCTGGGGAGTGTGCATGAGCAGGAAGCCTTGGAAACGGAGGCAAGGCTGGAACCCACACGCTTGATATGGCATGTGTGTGTCTCAAGGGAAGCTTAACGACTGCCCCAAATATCCACTCCTAAATATTATTAATAAGCACCTGGCTTTGCTTCAGAGAAAATTCTCTTATGAGGCCCTTTGCAGTCAAATGCTTCACGCGTGGTGCTGGTTCGTGTCCCAGCTGCTCCGCTTCTGACCGGGGAAAGCAGCAGAGGATGACCCAAGCCCACGGGCCTCGGCACCCACATAGATAGAAGACTCGCAGGAAGCTCCCAGCTCTGCCTTCAGAGCAGCCCAGCTCTGGCCATTGCAGCCATTTAGGGAGATCAAAGATCTTTCTCTCAATATTGGAAAGGCAAAATTACCGAGAGAAGGAGACACAGAGAGAAAGATCTACCATCCACTGGTTCACTCTCTAAGTGGCCGCACGGGTCTTCCAGGTCTCCCACACGGGTGCAGGGGTCCAAGTACTTTGGGCCATCCTCGACTGCTTTCTCAGGCCTCAACTGGGGAGTTGGATGGGAAGTGGGGCTGCCGGGACATGAACCAGTGCCCAGGTGGGATCCTGGAGAGTGCAGGTTGAGTATTTAGCCACTGAATCATCGCACTGGGTCCAATTTTAACTTTCAATTAAAATAAATTTGAGAGAGAAAAAACAGTTACATTTTTTCAGCACTTTAATCACAGTTCAGACATTTCTGCAGAGATGACATTGCTTTGAGCCTTAATGTAACTTCTTAATGAAGTAGAACTGGGAGGTGAGGCTTGTTAATGATCTACTCAAGGTCATAAATAGACTTCAGGTCCCGGTGCAGTGGCCTAGTGGCTAAAATCCTCACTTTGAGTGCGTTGGGATCCCATATAGACACCGGTTCTAATCCTGGTAGCTCCACTTCCCATCCAGCTCCCTCCCTGCGGCCTGGGAAGGCAGTCGAGGACGGCCCAAAGCCTTGGGACCCTGCACTTGCATGGTAGACCTGGAGGAAGTTCCTGGCTCCTGGCTTTGGATCGGCTTGTGGTCACTTGGTGGTTAGTGAACGAACGGATGGAAGATCTTCCTCTCTGTCTCTTCTCCTCTCTGTGTACCTGACTTTGCAATAGAACGTAAAATAAATCTTTAAATATATATATACTTCAGCTTAATTATAGCTTTTCACAATACAGAAAGACAAATAACCTGTTGTGTGGTGGAAAAACTAGTGTATTTTTAAAAAGATTGATTTGCTTGAAATGCAGAGTTGCAGAGAGAGATCAGTCTTCTACCTGCTGGCTCACTCCCGGGAAGGCACCATCACCAGGGCTGGGCCAAGCACTACCAGCACGATCTCCCATTGCTTCCCACGGCTATTAGCAGAGAGTGGATTAGAAGTAGAGCAGCCAGGATTCTAGTCAGCGCCATATGAGCCGCCAGCATTACAGGCAGCGGCTTAACCCACTGTGACACAACGCTGGTCCTCATAGTCATTATGGTTTAGAAATTGTGCCAAAAAATTGTTTATATATTGAATTTTCTTCCTCCCTTTCTTTGAAAGATTTATTTATTTGAAAGGCAGAGTGACACAGATAAACCCAGAGAGAGAAAAAGATCTTCCAAATACTAGTTCCTTGTCAAGTGCCTGCAAGGGCTAGGGATGGGCCAAGATGAAGCCAGGAGCCCAGAGTTCTGTCCAGAGCCCAGGCTCTAGGGCCCGCTCTCCTAGGCAGGGAGCTGCATCAGAATCGGGGGAGCTGGGGCTTGAACCTGGCACTCAAATGGGATGCCAGGATCACAAGCAGCTGCTTCACCCACTGTGCCAAAGTGCTGGCCCCTTCTTTTTTATTCTTGATGTAGTTATTTGAAAGGCAGAGGGACCAAGGAAGAAGAGGCAGAGAAAAAAATCTTCCATTTGCTGCTTCACTTTTTAAATACTCGCAACAGCCAGGGCTGGGCTATGCTGAAGCCAGGAGGCAGGAATGCAGGCAGGTCACCCCTGTGGGTGGCAGGAATCCAACAGGCCATCACCAGCTGCCTCCCAGGCATGGCACCAGGGAGTTAGAGCTGAAGCAGGGGTGCTCCCCCAGTAAGCCAATCAAAAAAACCCCCACAAAATCCTGCATACTACATTAAGTTGGGGTTAAGACTTTGGTGCAGTCAGCTTAGATGCCACTTGGAAGGTGGGCGTTGTGGCACAACAGATTAAGCTGCTGCCTCGGATGCCTGGATCCCATATTGGAGGGCCTGGGGTTTCGTGTCCTGGGAGGCAGCAGGTCATGGCTCAAGTTCTTGTCCTCCTCAGAGGAGACTGGGGTGCAGTTCTACGCCCCTGAGTTTGGACCTGACTAGCTCTGGCTTTTGTGGGTAGGGAGTGAACTAGTGATTCAAAGATATTCGGGCTTGTTTCTTTTTTTAATCCTCCCTTTCTTTAGACTTCTTTAAAAATTTTTATTTTTTATTGGAAAGACAGATTTAGAGAGAGAAGGGCACAGAAAGATATTCCATCTGCTAGTTCACTCTCCAGCTGGCTGCAGCAGCTGGAGTGAGTTGATTCAAAGACAGGAGCCAGGAGCTTCTTCTGGGTCTCCCATGCATGAGTACAAGACCCAAGGCTTTGGGCCATCCTCTGCTGCTTTCCCAGGAGCAGCCGGGACATGAACCAGCACCCACATGGGATCCTGGAGCTTGCAAGGGGAGGATTTAGCCATTGAACCATCATGCTGGGACTAGTAACGTTATTTGAAAAGCTCACATTCTATGGGAAGAGCTGGATGGGGCATCCAATGTCACTGAAATGTGCCAGGTACTGACAGGACCATGGGTGGGAGCTCTGGAAGTGTAGGAAAGAGTGGGGGGTGGGGGCTCCAATTTATTCTCAGACCGTTTCCAGGAAGGGCTGCTTGAGCTGGGGCTGAAACGTTGGAAGAGCATCCCAGGCTGAAGGAAGCAGATTTCTGTCAGGTCAGGGGGAGGGAAAGAGCAGGCAGCTCGGGGGACGTGTCCCGGGGGTCCCAGTGCAGGACGCAGGCCTCCCGCCTCCTTCCCGGGATGGGATGTGTGATTCCATCGATGTTCTAGACTGTTCTGGCTGCAGCGTGTGTGGAGTGGAAGGCGCTGATGGCTCCTGCGCTGCAGAGGCTTGCCATTACCTCGGCACACAGACACCAGCTAAGCAGTGTTACCTCACCAGGCGTGTGCTAGGTTCCGCATACATTTCCCCAACAGGGAAAGTGAAGATTCAGACCCCATCTTACAGAGAACATTCAGGCACGATGGTCAGGGCCTTTCCCGGCTCAGGAAGCTACTTCTCAGATGGACACTGGAGAGGGCCAGGTTCTTGGCTAAGGCAGTGTGCCTTGTGGAAGCATCTCACCTGGGCTGGCAGGCCCTGGCAAGGCTTCCTCGCCCAAGGGAAGAGGCCCTGAGCCCAAGATGAAAAACATTTATGCTAGGGTGTGTGGGGGGGTGCGGTCAGGAAGACCCTCTCCTGGGAGGGGAATTAGCTTGTGTGCAAGTCCTGAGCTGGAAGCAAGGGGGCGCTGTGGTGCAGCAACTGAAGCTGCTGCCTGTCATCCCACAAGAGGGATGCTTCATGTCCCGGCTGCTCCACTTCCCAGCCAGCTCCCTGCTGATGTGCCTAGGAAAACAGAGGAAGATGGCCTGTTACCTACGTGGGAGATCCTGTTAGCTCCTGGCTTCAGCCTGGACATTTGCAGACTGAACCAGCACATGAAAACTCTTTTAAATAAAATGCGAATAAACATGCAAATGTTTCAAAATTGAGGCCCTGGCATTTGAACATTGGCTTCCAACTCCGTGGTCTCCCACATCCTACTTCTTCATCCGATTTTTTTTATAGGCTTTAAAAAAAAAAGGATTTTATTTTTATTGCAAAGTCAGATATACAGAGAGGAGGAGAGACACAGAGGAAGATGTTCATCCAATGATTCACTCCCCAAGTGGCTGCAACGGCCCGTGCTGCGCTGATCTGAAGGCAGGAGCCAGGAACTTCTTCTGGGTCTCCCATGTGGGTACAGGGTCCCAAGGCTTTGGGCCGTCCTCGACTGCTTTCCCAGGCCACAGGCAGGGAGCTGGAGGGGAAGTGGAGGTGCCTGATTTGAATCAGCGCCCTGGCCCCGGCGTGGTGGCCCAGCGGCTCAAGTCCTCACATTGAACTCGCAGGGATCCCATATGGGTGCTTGCAGGGGCGGGATTACTGCAATGAACCTCCACACTGTCCTGTCTTATTTAATTAATTAAATATCCTATACTGTAGCATGCATGTATGAATACGAAAAAAAAAAAAACAAAACCCCCAAACTAGCGTGTCAGAAATGTTGGAATTTACCCTCACCCTTTTTAGTCTCCGTGTAGCTTTTCATATTCATAAATATTAAACTTATAACTATGATTCGGCTTCCGTGAGAACAGGGATTTTGGGGCATTTCTGCTCTGTCCCCTTGGCCTAAAACAGGGCTCAGTGTCCCATCGCAGCAGCCGCTTCACCGGCCACTCCCGGGGAGCGCTACTCAAATCTTTTTTTTTTTCAACACAGAAAATGAAGATTTTTCTCACATAAATGAAGGCAGGGCGGCAGCCAAGACCTAGAGATCCCCAGGGAGCTTTTGGGGGCTGCACACCTGAGGAGCGGGGCAGGCGATGCGAGGAGCGCAGTGACCGCAGCTGGGTGGGCACTGGACGCGGCGTGGGCGCCGGGCAGCCGGCAGCGGCCCACGGGAAGCCGGAAGCGGCGGCGGGCGTCGCGCGGCTGACGTCACGGCGGCGCCGGCGGCGAAGGGCGGGGGCGGAGGCGGAGCGAGGCGGGTTTTTGGGGGGGCAGCTGCACAGTCTCCGGAATCCCCAGGCCTGGAGGGGGGTCTGCGCGCGGCCGGCTGGGCTCTGCTCGCTCCCCGTCCGGTCCCGAGCGGGGCCTCCCTCGGGCCAGCCCGATGTGACCGGGGTCCAGCGGAGCCTGAGCAAGGAGCGGGTCCGTCGCGGAGCCGGAGGGCGGGAGGAACATGACATCGCGGAGGTGAGGAGCCCCGAGGGGGGCCCCGGCGCGGGCCTCGGCTCTCGGGGGGTGCCCCCCAACCTCGCCTGCTTGGGACTGGGAGGAAGGGAGAGCGTCCAGGCCGGGCCTGGGACCGCGGGGGTGGAGTGGAGTGAGTGGGGTGCAGCGTGTGGAGGGGTGGTGGACGGACAGGGTCTCTCCCGACCCCCTTCTCCGGCCCCAAAGCCGGGGGGCCCACCGCGCCCCCCGCCCCATCCTCGGGTCCCCATTCATTTCCTGCCTCTCGGCGAGTTCCGGCTGCTAGCGGCCCCAAGGGGGGGATGCCCAGCCGGCCCGGGGGGCAGGTAGAGGTGCCCAGCTCGGCGCGGCCGCCAGCGGCCCGGCTCGGCGCCGCATTCCTGACCCATTGCCTCATGAGAATTGCCTCATGGTGATTCCGAAATAACCCCGTTCTCCGGGGGAAGCTCCCCGGCCGCTCCCCTCGAGCGCGCCTCGGGGAGGAGAGACTGGGGGGGCTTCGCTCAGGACCCCCTGACCCTTGGCCTCCCCTTCCCCCCACCTCCGCTCCTACCCTTCACGGGCCGCAAGTGGAAAAACTGACTGTATGTGCAGCCGCTTGCAAGTATTTCCTTCCTCCCCGATCTTCGCTTTGGGAGATGGCAGGGCCGGGAGCTTTTTCTCGCCCTTTTTCATCCCTTGGCTGTAACCTTGGAAAACCGCGAGGACTTGGCTGCTACCCGTTTTGTGGATGTGGAAATTGAGGCTGGGAGGGAACATGCCAGCAAGTGACCGAAGTTGAAGGTGCGGCTGGGCAGGAGAGCCGCTGCGGTCCTTGTATTAATTACTACGAGCTAACACTTCTCAGCGCTTATTCCAAACCACAGACTTTTAACCACCCCCCACGACCGTGCGATAAGGTCGGTCCTCTAAACCCTGTGGTCAAGAGAAGAAAACTCTGTTTCCCAGGTTAAGCACTCGCTCAGTAAGTGGTGGAGCCCGCGTCCTCCTTGCCCATCAGCAAATCGCTGTTATTATTTTACAACTCTGGTCAGTCATTAGGAAACCTCCGTTTTGTTGTTCAACAGTCATGTGACCTGTTGTTCTCAGATAATGGGCCTGCTATTTTCTGTCACCACTCATTACGTAGGAGTCACACATAAGACCCCTTTGTGCCTCTGCCCTGTTGGGCTGTTGAGGTTCACACTGTCCTAGGCGTTGGAGAAATTGATTTCAAGCCTTTGAGGGCTATTTGAAAGAGCAACGTTTTTCAAATATTAGGCAGGTCTCCCGCAGACACACCTGCGTATCATTCACTTCTAGATCTGGAACAAGGAGGGAAAGGGGAAAAAAATAAAAGGAAACTGAAGGTCCTTAGGAAGTGAGTGACTTGGACCGGTTTCTTGATCTCTTCTTGGCAGGTGCTCCCTGATTGGGGTAATCTATTACTGCATTTCAACAGAAGAGTTAGAGCCGCAAATGTCCCACTTCTTTAGGGAGCTTTTAAGTCAAACAGTTGTCTGTTCTCTCATCTGTCAAATGGTCATTGAGCCTTTTGTTCCTCGCTCTGCTCTTCCAGACAAATAGGGATGTGCTGCTTTAGGAGACAAAAAGACTCGGGGCTGGGGGCTGGGGAAAGGGGTAGTAATAGACCCTACATTGTCCTGCTTGGGGGTTTAGAAGCAAAGAAGTGTGGGCCTTGCCAAAGCAGCAAACGGTCAAAGTGACATTAAAAGAATATTGTTAAATTAGTGAAAGGATGAGTGGCAGTGGGAGGGAGTGCGAGAGAGGGGTCTTTAACCACAGGTTCTCCTCCCGGAAGGCCCGAGTCAGGGGTCCAGGGCCCACTCCAGGTCTCCCACGGGGGCTGGAGCAGTCCCCACACTGGCCACTTCTCCCAGGACACAGGTGCTAGCAGGCAGGTGGGGTCAGAAGCTGTGATGGGACTGCAACCCAGACGCCACAATATGGGGTGCACTGAGTGAGTCAAAAACCCCCCAAAGGTGTCTGTTTCAAATGCTCCAGTGTTTCTGCCTTGTCTGTTGTGGAAAAGAAATGGGCTACCACCAGCAATGTCAGAGGAGGAGCGAAATACGCTTCTTTGGAAAGTGGTCTCACTTTTTAGAGTGTGATCAAGTGGCCGCCGTTTGACCAGCTCTCTTGGGGCGTGGCTGCTGTGCAGTGTGAGTGTGGATGTGTGTGAGCATGTGAGAAGTCATCCACACGGTCAAGGTGATGGACATTCCCAGAACCCCTCGTGACGGTGCCTTGGGCTCTTTATAAATCCCTCCGTTGTTCTCGGGCGGCCACTGTTCTGCTTTCTGCGAGTACATGCTAGTTTGCATTTCCTAGAATTTGGTGTAAGCCGGCTTGGACAGTGTGTTCCTGTTTTCTTAGGCTCAGGATGGTTATGTAGGGGGTTCATCCACGTTACAATGTGTAGTGTGTGTGTAACGTTGTGTGGGTACATTGCAGAATGCTGAATCCATTCTTGCCCATGGATGGACATTTGATTATTTCCCGAGTTTGGCCGTCCCCAGGGGCTGTCTCAGAATTCCCCGAGTGTTCATGTGGAGATGTGCTTATGAGTAGAATGGCTGGATCATAGAGCAGACGGTGATTTAATGTGCTCAGAAATCGCCCCTGCTTTTCAAAGTGGTCATACCATTGTCCTGTTCTGCTGTTGTGACTGGGGAGTTAGGGTTCTTCCACGCGCTTGCCAGCAATTGAAGTTTAGCCCTTTCGGTGGAAGCGTTGTGGTATCTCGTTGTAGTTGTAATTTGTATTTTCTCTGATGACTTGTGTGTTGGCCATCTACCTGTCGTCTTTGCCTACTTTTCACTGTCTGCTTTCTTATCATTGGGTTCTTTATGTAACCCTGTGGCAGTCCTTCATCAGAATTGCCAACATCCCCTCCAGCTCTGCGGCTCGTCTTTTCATTTTCTTAATAGCATGAGGGTTTTAATTTTGACGAAGTCTGGTTTATTGATTTTTTAAAAATAGATGATGCTTTTGGCATTATTTCTGAGGTATCTTTCCTTAAACTAAGGCCTCAAATGTCTTGTGCAAGTTTTTATAGTAGTTTTAGGCTACCCATTCATTTTGAATTTATTTTTGTGTCTAATGTGAGGTGTGGCTTTGCGCCGAGCTGAAGCCAGGAGCCCATCTCCCACGGGGATGGAAAGGACCCAGGAACTGGGGTCTTTCCAGACAGATCAGCAAGAAGCTGGGCTGGAAGTGGAGGAGCTGGGACTTGAGCGGACACTCTGATGTGGGATGTGGGAATGCCAGACCGTGGCCGAGCCCGCTGTGGCACGGCACATACTGCTGTAACTGCTAGGTGAGAGAAAGCGCCTGTGGCTGGTGGATCTGCACCTTTGTTGAAAAGGACCTGTCTGCTTCTGGACTCATACCATGTGTGCTTGGTTACTGTAGCCCTCTAGTAAGTCTTGAAGTTGGATCGTGTTAATTCCACAGCTTTGTTCTTTTTCCATTTACTTTAATCTTGGTGTTAATTCATTCAACAAGTGGTTACTGAGCCTGGCAGGGTGAAACAGTAAGATTGGCAAGGATTGCTCTCATGACTGAGGAAGCAAGAGGAGACCAGCGCATTCATAAATAAGGGAGTTTCAGCTGTGCTGAACGTGGGGTGGGGAGAGCGCAGCGAGGTTAGGTCGCTGGTTGAGGGAAGGTCTCAGGAGGTGACCATCTGAGCTGACACTGCAGTGACAAGTATTCTGTATTTTGTATGATTATCAAACAAACTCTTTTTTTAAAAAGGTGATTTATTTATTTTACCGGAAAGGCAGATTTACAGAGAGAAGGAGATACAGAGAGAGAGAAATATTTTCTGTTCTCTGGGTTCACTCCGCAAGTGGCCACAATGGCCAGAACTGAGCTGGTTGGAAGCTGGGATCCAGGAGCTTCTTCTGTGTCTCCCATGTGGGTGTGGGATCACAAGGTTTTGGGCCGTCCTCGACGGCTTTCCCAGGTCACAAGCAGGGAGCTGGATGGGAAGTGGAGCAGCTGAGACACAAACTGGGATCCCAGTGGATGCAAGGCGAGGATTTAGCTGCTGAGCCATTGCACTGGGCCTCCAAATCATTCCTTTTAATTGGTATCTTAAGGGTTTAGATTTTGGTATCAGTTCAGTAATTAAAACATCTATAGAAGGGACATGTATGCGGCACAGTAGTTAAGATGCACTTGGGTTGATTGCATTCCATATTGGAGTGCCTCGGTTCACATCTGGCTGCATTTGCAACTCTAGCTTCCTACTGAGGTCCACTCTGACAACAGATGACAGCTCAGGTGCTGAGTCCCTGCCGTCCACGTGGGAGGCTGCGACACGTTTTCTGGCTCTGGGCTTTGGCGTGCCACAGCCATGGCTGTTGCAGACTTTAACTAGTCAACAGAAGATTTCTCCCTTTGTCTTTCAAAGAAAATGAAAATAAATTAATTAAAATAATTTAAAAAATTACTTATCTTAAAAATTATTCCATGTACTGTACTAAAATCTCAACCTCACAGATGTTAAAGGAAGGCCCGAGCAGCTGGCTGGCTGCCCTTGCAGGGGGTTGAGTGGCAGTTATGCCGAGGTTTGGTCCTGAGTCTGTGCTCTGTGCTGTCCTTTCTCCCGCTGCCAAAGCCGTCTTTGCTTTGAGCTCTCCCGTCCGCGTGGAGCACACCTCTCACGTTTGCTTGGAAGATATGTAGGATAATGACTAGAGGTGGTTGGGAGGTGCAGAACAGAAAACTGAGCTTGTTCTCATGCTTGAAGTTGTTGATATATCTGACAGATTAAGTACATTTTATCCCAGGCTGTGCCTGGTGGCCATGTGTGTTTATCTCCTATGGGAGTAAATAAACTTGCTTGGCTGAAAAAATGACAGTTTCTGTGTATTTGCCATTGAAACGGAGTTGTCTTTATTTGTGACACAAGGCCAGGTTTCCGAGCAGGGCTGTTCAGGCTCAGGGACCGCTGCTGAGCTACTTAGCTCTGTGTGGTCAGTGCGGAAACTGTC